GGGGGGGTGGGGCGTGGCCCCGTCTCATTATCTGATCGCCTGCGCTGCATTCACGCTCCCCGACCTGATCTGTGCACACGCCCCGGGGGGGCTGCATGTTTCCAGGTGTCTGCTTTGGACTTGATGAGTCCCCTGGGGGCAGAGAGAGGCAAGGCAAAGGGGGAGGGGGGGCTGAGCCAAGGCCACATCTGAAATTTGAACCCCCCCCCCCTCCCGGGCCTGCGGAGAGGCTAAACCACCTGACCGCCAGCCGCCCCCCCTCCGTCCTGCGCCTGCAGCTTTTATTAGCTGTTATGACTTGGAAATTTATTTCGCGGCTCATCCTGCTTAGAGGGGAAAACAAGCCCCCCCCTTTCAGCCCCTGCCTCCCCCCTCCCTCCTTCCCTCTCACTGGCACGGAGACGGAAAAAGGGATAGAGGGGAAAAAAAATCAATAAGGCAGTCAGGCTTGAGCGATGAGAGGAGGAAGCTCAGGGCCCCTGTGCTTTCCCACGTCCGCCCGCCTGCCCGCCCGCCGCGTCTCCGCCAGACGTCCCGTGGTACCTGCAAGCCCGTCAGGCTCAGCTGGCCCCAGATGTCGCGGTCCAGGCCAAAGACGACGGCATTGGCCAGTCCGTGCAGAGGGCCGGAGAAGACGTGCATCAGCGTCAGTGAGAACACCGGTGTCCTGGGGTACAAGGCGTTATGGATCCTGCGGGCAGAGAGGCAGCCGGTGTTACCCTGTGTATGCGGGAATACTCACAGAGCGAGGCTGGAACACACGCACAGATACAGGCACCTTCATGGAACAATATACAGGCACACAAATTTCTTTATGCGCGCACACACACACACACACACACAGATGGGATCACCCTCCAACATACACACATACACAAACTCATACATACTCATATATGAATACATACACATATGCAAATATTTTATATGTGATGCAACTACATATCCTCATAGAAACTGAGGCACACACACGGAGTGCAATAATGACAACCCCCACCCCACACACACAAAATCTCTATGAGGACAGGAAGCGGCTGACATTTCGGAAGGTGTGCGGCAAAATCTGAGGGAGCCGTTTTGCCAGGAATGGGCAGCGCCCCCTGTCTGCAGGCTTGTGCTCCAGCGCCACTGCGTATGGCTGAGGACTGATTTGTGATTTACTCACAAATGTCAAAATAAGTACCAAACATACCTGTGTGAAAGAGTGAGGCCAGGACAGGCTCTGAGAAGAGACACACACACACACACACACACACACACGCACACGCACACGCGCACACACACACACACACACACACACACACACACACACACAC